TTGTTTTGGTTCCTTATTCGTCTCAGAAAATGGGAGCTGACGAAAGGCTGTGCGGGTGAAAACGGCCGCTCTCTGCAATCTGACTGTGTGAGCAGTGTCCTGTGTGTGTGTTTTGGGAGAGGAGAGGCGTAGGATAAGAGTATAAGACGGAGTGGCGCTATGGTGAGAAGTCACGCGCACTGTACTGTGTGTGTGTGTGTGTGTGTGTGTGGAGAGAGGAGAGGCGTAGGATAAGACGGAGTGGCGCTATGGGGAGGACTCACGCGCACTGTACTGTGTGTGTGTGTGTGGAGAGGAGAGGCGTAGGATAAGACGGAGTGGCGCTATAGTGAGCACTCACGCGCACTGTTTTATTTGCTTGGTCAAACATTTGTTTAAGAAAATAAATAAAATCTTATACAAGTGATTAAATTTGGTAGCATGTAACTTTTCTTTTCCTTTAAAAAAATTAAAAAAATAAATGAAAATTTTGATAAATATTGACCCTTCATCTTTTTAAAAATTAAAAAAAAAAAATTAAAAAGTTATTTTCATAAACTATAGTGAAATTCAAAAGAGCATAAACTTAAATAATTGAGTTATAATTTTGACCCACAAATAAAAAAAAAAAAATGAGAAAGAAAAAAATGAATTTGTAAAGTTCAAATTAGAGACCACATTACTCTAATTCAATTGAATGTATTTTATTTTTCATGAAAGCTAAATAACTACTTTCTAATATTTAAGAAAGACAAATAAAATCTAGAATATGAAACCCAATCAAAATGGGTATGCAAATAAAAACTATAGTTTTATAGACTAACATTATAAATTGAGATTGTTAAATATTTGGTGAGACTTTTATGAATTATGTATTCAATTTGGATTTTTTAAAACTTTTAAAATTCTTGAAGTGTTCATTTAAAATTTAAAAAATATATTAAATAATCACGAAGTTTTAATTTATTTGACACTTAAATTTACTAAATTTTTTTAAGAGTTCCTGATCAAATTTAATAAACAAAAACCTTACACAAAGTATCATCCCAAATCTATACTTATATTAATAGGTATCATATTTACTAAGGGGGTGTTTACTTTGCGTGACAGGACAGGATAAGTATAATAGTCATGGGATAACATTCGTTTACTTACATGGATTGGGATGGGATTGCAGTGATGTGGTGGCGCCCATGTGTCATGCGGGTCCACACGGTCATCCTCCATTTGCTGATTAAAGTCATCCCACCCTCCCCCTCAGATAAATTAATCCCGTCTCTATATTGTCCATCATGCCCTCATAATTGGCTGCCAAGTTACACAAATACCCCTAGATTTCAAAGAATTTACAAAATTATACTATCTCCTATTCTTTTTAAATGTCATTTTGGCTTTATCAACTATTAACTAAATAAATGTCGTTTTGAGTCTTTTGTACATAGTTTTCCCATTATTACTCTTATTGAGTCAATAAATAACTTACGTCTTTTCATATTCACTCTTCATTTTTTTAACACATTAATCTCTATCTTTATTAAATAGGGTTATTATTAACAACAAAATTATTCTTAATTATTGTGCAACTTCTCAAAACGACATTTATTTTGAATAGGAGGGAGTATCATATAAAATGCTGGAATGGGTCATTTGCCTAGTTTCTGCAGAGACGGACACCCACCATTGTTGTGAAGGTAGAAGCTCAGAATTTTGGTCTGCCCGACAGGTAAACTCGAAATTCACTATATTTTTTTGGTCTGCCATCCATGGCCATCATCATCATCAGCAACCAAAGCAAAATTTTCACCAAATCACAATCAAGAACTGCCATTTTATTCCTCTGTGTGCATATTCATTTGAATCAGTATAATGTACAAGCAGGATCAAAGATTGCCCCCACCAAAACCTAATTTTTCCAAAAGAGGGGAAAAAAGAGAGACGCATAACCCTAAGAGACGGGCATCCAAGGTAATCAATGACCGATTTACCAAGAATGCTGGCAAAATCGGTGAAGTTGATGATGTCGTCGCCGTTAGTGTCAGCCTCCCGCATCATCTCGCTGAGCTCGTGGTAGGTGAGCGGCTGGCCCATCTTGGCCATCTGGCCGGCAATTTTGAAGAATGAACTGGATTCGGTGATATCGATTTGGTACAGACAGACATAAACATAAGGGCAATTTTGTCTTTGGATTGTGTAACACGACAATTAATCCATCGAAGTAAAGATGGGATTCAGTTATGCAAATTCCAACCCGAAAAGTAAACTAGGGATTGATTGCTGACATGTAAAGTTATCTTGATAATTTATTTTATCACATCCTGCAAAGTAAAAGACCCCTAAATATAGTAGATAGAAAAGTCAATCTTAATTAATGAATTTCTAATTTTATCAAGTATGTTAATTACGTTGTTTTTTATCTCATAAAAATCAGTTTAGTAAAAAACAATGGGAAATGTATAGATAAATCCCCAATCCTAAATTCATCTTCTCATTCAGTCCCTAGTGAAATTTTTTTCCATTCAACTCCCTAGTCAACAACTTTATGGTCCCCTCTAAGGTTTAAATTATATTTTTGTCTCGATACTTGTTTTTAAAAGAAAAGTACCAGTTTTCATTCAGTATAGTACCAGGGGCTTTCAAAATAGTATCTTGTGTTATAAATTTACATAGAGTACCAAATGTCTTTCTATATTGTACCTGACTTTATTCCCGGAGTACCACCACATATAAAATGGTATCTGATATAGGATATTATACTGGACCCAGTTTGATGGATAAAGCGGATATATATTGGAAGATAAGCCCACTAAGCATCTAAGCCCAACTTGGGCCCAAAAGGTACACTCCCCCTATAAAAGGGGGCCAAGGTACCTCATTCTCTCATCCTCTCCTCATTAC